GAGGGCAGGCCACGCAGCAGAGGGGGGAGGGATCAAACGTGGGGGAAGGGGCGACGGCAGGGGTGAAGGCAGGCGATGTCGCGGGGGAGGGGGACGACGGCGCCGCATTGGTGAACAGGCTGCGCCAGCGGAATACGCGGGAAGGAATGGAGGCGGCGGCGAAGCTGTGGGTGGATGACCTCCGCTTCTGGAACGAGAGGGAGGGATTTGCAATCGTCAAGTTGATCGCGGAGGTGCGCGGTTATCTTGTGGCTGTGGCGCGGGGAGAGCAGCCTCCACCCATTCGTCGCAGCATCGTCTTGCCTCACAACAGCATCCCGCAGCACAAGATCACGGACGATTCGGAGTTAAACGCTGCGAAGGAGAGGGCGCTGAAGGTTCAGGGGATCGCTTTGCGGGTGATACACGGGTGGGTCTTCAAGTCTCAGAACAGGCAAAGGGGGTACCACGCGGCGTACCAGTACGCACTCAACCTCGCGGCCACCGACATCGCTTGCGCGATGTGGATGGGGGAGGACTGGCGTCATTGCGTGAGTTCGATGGTCGCCCACCACACGCTCGACTTGGATATGAAGCTGCCTTTGTGGTTCGTGGGCGCCGACGTCGAAGACAGGCACGAGGACGACGGTTTGGCGGCTTATCAGGAGGCGAGCATCCAGCGACTGGTGGGGGCTTTCACGAGCGCTGTGATCATTGCGGAGGCGACGGACGGCGGCTGTGTGTCGCACGAAAGGTTGAAGACCATGGCCGACGCGATGCGGATGATGCTCACAGCGACCATGTGGCTCATGCAGATGGCGGGTGACGATCATCGCGTGCATTACCACGCCTGGGTTTTCGTCCGACGTCCAACTCACGGCGAAGCCGACGCTCGTCGCATCCATGCATCGCTGCTTCGACGCGCGTCGGCACATCGTGCAAGCTGCGACCGTAATCACCGACAAGTTGGCAAGTCCCCCCATCACTTTGATCGACCCGCCAATGTATGCCCCCGAATGGGCATCCATCGGTGTGAAGTTATCACACGACGCCACGCTGTCTTCCCCGATGGAGGCGAAGAAGGTGGATTGGTTGGGCACAGGCCCCCCGGAAGACGAAGACGACGGGAAAGGCGACGAATAGGGAAGCGGGGGGGGGTCGATGACGCCTTTTAGTCGTCTATGTAGTTTTTCCTCGCGTGATGCTGCTCTGCCGTGGCTTGTTTTTCGACGGCAGACCAACCATCATCCCCTTTCTGTACATACATCGTGGCTGGCAGTCCGATTTCGTTGCCTAGGAGCTTTCGGTGGCGAAGATGGTAAAGAAGGGAAAGACGGTAAAAGGGAGGGGGGGGGGGGATGTTGGGGGATTGGATGTCGTTGATTGGTAGACGACGTGCGTTCGTGGTTG